CAGGAGAACCATCCCGTGATGCTTTCTGGTCTGACTTGGCAGTAGGTTTTTTAGTGTTCCGTTTTAGTGGGATTGTAAGGCCTATTAACCTGCCGTACCAACTGTCACATCAAGTCTTCATCAAGCGCACAACGTATGCGGAAACATGTTGACAGAACTGACATGACACAAGGATATTGTATTTTACAGAACCACTATGATAGAACTGAAGGTGAATTGGTGCTCGGCGCGCTGCTGAAATGGAAATTCCATTTCAAGAGCAGGACTTCAGCAGCGCGCCGAGCACCAATTGACTTTCAAGGAGTGGTGTTGAAAGACACCGCAGTGAAGTTCTGCGTTTGTCCCTTCCCTATTTTGGGGAGGAGGGGGGTCCCCGTTAAACCCGAAAAGCAGAAAGGAAGGGGGGGCTGGCGTCAGTTTTCTGGCCGCTGGCCAAGGAAAGGAGGAGCTAGGCGGGCGTCGGCCGAAGCGGAATGGATTTGTGGGGATTTGGCAATGGCGGAGGGGATGGGTTCCCGTTTCGTTTTACCAACCAAAAGAAAGAGAGCACAAGGGGGCCCACCATTTTGATCTCCCCCGAAGCAGGGCAATAATAAAATTGGTGCCATCAGCCATCCATCGACTTAGGAGATGAGCTGTGCCATTTTCGGTTGAAGAAAATGGCGCTGAGCCAATGGCTGCACACGTGCAATCAGGGGACCTCGTGACGATCGCCAAGATTGATGGCACTGCAAATGATAGCCCTGTAGATGAGATTGCGACACGGCAGCATTCCGTATTGTTGCCGCTCGTTTGAGCCCTTTATTTACGGCCTCCAGGAATCGCAGGAACACCATTCGCAATTCGCAGTTCTCGGGGCCCCTGTTTTTGTGTTTCTAGTTGCTTGAGGACTGGAGTTCCTTCCCCACAATCTTCTTCATCAAAGCGGGGCAGAGCAATGCCACCGTCTACGATGGCGAGAGAACCGCCAAAGGTTTATGGCTTCTTGGCGCGATGGAGTGGGGTTCAATTGCATTTGTGGGTAGGGACGGCAAGGGTTAGTTGACATATTCAAACACAGAATTGCACTATGTCAGTTGTGTTAACCCAGGATGAATCAATCCCTGGTTGATTAGGGGGTGTTTTTCGCCTATTAACCAGTTGATTGATTATCAATCCAGGGTAAACATCAGTTCGAACATCCAAGTGCTACTCCTAACACGCGTTCATTCAGTCATGCAGATACTTGATGTGCCAAAGCGAAGCCCTGGTCAGTCTGTCGCATTCAGAAGCTCGAATGACGATTTAATTGCATGTTTTAACGGCTCAGCTTGGTGCTTGGAATGTCTTCACGGCTGAGTGGGAACATCATCGACCCGTGATTTCCTCACACTGGTAGGTGTTCTTTTGCTCACCATCATATATAGATGGCGCGGAAGTCTGATCGACCCAAGGAAGTACATCCGGAAGCACGCGACGAAAGCGCAGGAACTACGTGATCGATTGGAGAGAAGGAAGGCCTGACTTGTGCTTCGACTCCGGTAAAATGGTCATGGGTCCTTTTTAAGTGACCTGCAAATGATTTCACAGGTCCGATCCCAAAGGGAGATTCCTACAACGGCCCGGAAGTTACGGTTTCAAGTTAACCTTGCTTGAATCCGAGTCTAGCCCCGAGTTTAGCAGCAAACAACCTGCCGAGCAACGCGTCGCCGGTCAGGGCTCAAGCAAAAAAGGCCGGGGCCCCAGAAGCGCGCGCGCCTCGAGGGTGGCGAGGCAGACAAAGCAAAGATATGGCGAGGCGTCGAAGGGGGCCACCTCGGGAGGCTTTGAAGCTAACACCAGAAGACTGGGCTGTTCAAAGGTAATTTCTGCAAGATCCATCCGTACCTTGGGTTACGCAAGGAACTGGTCCCCTTTCTTTGCAGTGGCTTCCCTATAGGGATTATGGATTAGGGTTGGCCAAGCCTCCATTTTGAAGAGCCCAGCACGAAAGCCTGGAAGCATCCCTTGTTGGACACATACCATACCCGGGGGTTGGGGGGGGGGTCCTGCTACAGCCAGGGTCCAAACACACTTTCCCTGCTTGATGCATCCCACAGAAATGCACCCCATGGCACATTAGCTGAGGCGAAGAGCTGTAGGGCCGCAAGTGCCCGCCCGGACCGATGTTGAGCCAGCGCGAGAGGTTAGAAAGGATCGCATGCGAAGGAACCGCTTTTCTCCCCCCCCCCCCCCCAACCCCGGCCGTTTTTCTGCCGGGGTTCTTATAGAGAGGCGGGTGAAGAAAGAATTTGGTTTAAAAATTAGCCAATAGCCAGCCAGGGGATTTTCAGGTACCCAAGTAGGCCATATTCATTTAGGAACCTGACAAATTGGTGGACTTCGACTAATCGGCTGCTGTCATAAGCCTCCAGAAAGCCTAAGGGGAGCCACGGAAAAGGTCTGAAAAGGGGGGTGATAGGCCATCCTTCTAGCCCCCCTTCAAGGCCCCGAGAAAGTGCCCATGGCAGGCTGGGAATGTCGAGGAGAAGCTGCGCTGGACGCCCGGAATTTCAAGGGACCGCGAGGGCACAACTTCAGTCCCAGATGTTTAGTGGCACCCTCAAATTTTGCTTGTTGGCAGCTTCCCCTCCACATAATTTGTCAACTCTAAGGGTTGGTTCCCCATTCTTCCGTCACACGCGTTCCAGGCGGTTTCGGCTCATTTTGTTGATTTTTATGCAGCGAGCACCGAGCCATGCAAGAAGTTGTCCTGCGGGCTAGGGGTAGGGGCAGTAGACCAGACAACCCTTCCCAGAGTCATGCCGCTGCAGGCCATCGTTCTTCCCGGCAGCGTTCTTTTCTTAAGGACATCGTTGTTTCCCTGCAACCATCGTTTTGGGGGATAATTGGGTTAGCTCTTCAGAATGGGGAGGTGTGGCTTAGATCAACCCAAAAACTTGCACACTCAACAAAGAGACGCCAACACATACCAACACACACGCGCATACACAATACACAATGACATACTGATACACCAACACGCACAAACACAAACACAAACACAAACACACACACACACACAAACACAAACACAAACGCAACACACCCACCCACCCACCCACCCACCCACCCACCCACCCGCCCGCCCGCCCGACAGGCCCGCCCACCCACCCGCCCGCCCGCCCGCCCACACACACACACTTACAGAGATAGAGAGAGAGAGAGAGAGAGAGGCGCTCACGCCTTGAAACAGACACGCGCACATAGAGAGGCTCGTACACCAGACGCGCACACACAACTACAAAAACACAGCTACGCATACAGACGCAGCATTTCTCCCTACGCACGCGGTTTTTACAAAGACACGCAGACACGCTGAATACTTGGTACTGCAAGTTTCGGCCTTGTGCGTTCTTTGGTCTTGAGCTTGAACCCGTCAAGAGCAAACAACGGTCGCTTGGCCGACAAGGGGCGTTGTCAAGCAGAACCATGATCCAGCAGCCTGTTGGTAATTTGCGGCAAATGTAAGAGAGTGTTCCCTTGCAATGTGTGTGTGTGTGTGTTTTCTGAGAAACCTCTTTTTTGAGGGGCCCTTCAGGCCTCCAGAAGTGGCGATCATTTCAATGGAACCCACCATTGATCAACGCGCGAAATCCGTCTTTAAACCAACCCCTTTCCGGTGCCAAACACATACCATCCTTCTAAAACTTGGTTCAACCCAAAATCGAGTCAAAAGCCTCCGGGTTTCGAGTCAAAAGAAGTGGGGGTTCAACCCCTCCAGCTTTCAACCAACCCACTCCAAATCCTGTTTTGCAGGGGGGGCAGGTTTCGAGTCAAAAGACCCTCCGGCGCCATGGCGATGGACGCGGTGCGGCGAGAGGCCAAAGCCGCCTGGGCCGCGGTGCTGCGCCAGGCGCCGGGAAGGGCGGCGCGCCTTTTTTTCAGCAACTGGTGAATTTCCGGCAGGTTCCCCTTAAACCAGAACAACCCGAGGATCCGAAGAAAAAGAAAACCTCAGGATGTTCGCTTGGTTCCCCCTTAAAGCCAAAACAGCCTGTGGATGTTCGGTTGGTTTCCCTTTAGAACCACAAAAGCCCGTTAAGCGACACCTCCAAGTAGAGGGACCCGAATGGATTCTGTTCTGTTTTTCTCTGCAACCATGCAACCAACATGAACAGGGTACCCTCAAAAATCAAACATGAGGAGAGCCCTATGTTTTCTTTTGGTTTTCATCCACCTTTTGAGAAGCCCTCCCCCCAGCCCCCCAAAGAAAAGAACAAGAAAAAGGAAGTCAACGATTGGGATCAATCAACCCAGGAAGTGGATTGCAGTCAACAGCGAAGCTTGTCCATTGTTACCATCTTGCCCTTGAGTAAAGTGGTGAACAAAGAGCAATTGTAAGCTGTAGGATACCTAGGTTTGGGTTTGAACGACTCCTTTCGCCAGAAGCGAGTCGAAGCAGGTGTTTTCAGTCGACCCTTTGGGGAGAATGGAAATGACCACCACAAGCGCAGCAAAGCGCTGGATTTACTTGCCACAGGAGCGGGTGCTTGCCCCCAAAGTGAGACTCCTTGTATTGAGCAACCTTTGGATCCGCTTCTGCCTGCGGCTGAAGCATGCAGAGGAAATGGTTGAAACCGTGGGGTGGGGGGACGCAGAGGTTACTCATGGTTAATGATGAAGTCCCATTTCCGAGGGGTACTTCTGCAAAAGGGCAAGGTTGTTAAAGAGATACCAAAAGGACAACCACCTATTTAGTTGGTTCCTTTCGAAAACACCCTCACACAGATCTGCCCACATTTGGTCACGCGGCTGGCTTCAAAGCTGCCTTGAAACGGGAGACCAAGCTTACAGGCGGAACCTTGCCTGTTCCATGCTTGGTCTTGGTGGCCCAGACGCCATGTGCTGAAACCTGATGCACCTGTTGACATCTTGATGTGCAAGCTTGGATCCCACACGCAGTAGAAAGAGAGAGAGAGAGAGAGAGATGTGAGAGAGAGAGAGAGAGCGGGGGGTGGGAACATTTGGATCCAAAATGAATCAATTGAAACAGCTATTCGCGGAACAGGCACCATGATCTAGCTGAAACAATATGACGAGAGCCGCCCGGCTGTGCCCCCTCCGATTTGTTGTTCAACTTGCATGGGCGGAATTGCAGGTTCAAACGGACATTTTTGGCAGAGGAACATTTGGAGGTGCGAGCGCATGGCAACCAGAGCTGCCTGGTCTTAATGCTGTGTATGGACGAAATCATGCACCACCTAGGAATCCTTGGAATGATGACCCCCTGTAAATACCAACGAACCATGGTTTCCCAGGGTTTCAAAGTGGTGAACGGATTCCGTCCATCCACAGTATCATGGTGGTCCATGAAATGTGGCTGGCACCATTTTGCAGGTTAGCAGAGCACATACAAAATTTGCTTCGTCGGTTTCTAGAGGTTGAAGCAATGCCATTCAACAATTTCCGGGCTGCCCAGTGATAGTTCCCCGCTTTCTTGGCATGCATATTTCTTGGTTTCTTGGTATATCTTGGTAGCCTTTTTCCCCCCCAGCGTCTTGCCCAAGTTGGCTGTTTCTTGGGTTTTTTGGTCTCATGTTTTCCGCCTGTTGGCTGATTCCCACCTTTCTTGGTGCATCTTTTTGGGCACCAGGGGCTGATCTTTGGTTGCATCCCGTCATGGTTTGTTGTTGGGAACCATTTTACATTTTTGAAATCCCCACTTAGCAGTTTTTGTTGTTGTCGGGAACCATATTAGCAGTTAAGTGGTTATTGTGGTTGGGTGGTTGAAGTCCGACCACTTAACTGCTATACTTCGATTTGGCCGCTCCCCTGCCAACGTCAACCCAGACATCTCGGCATGTCGTATCGGTTTGGTCAGGTGTTGTCCCAGCTCTCGGGGCCGGGCCCGGGGCTTCTCATCGCGGAGCTGTCGGCGCCCTGGGACCTCCGCTCGTGTCTCCAGGTGCTGCCGCCGAAGCGCCGGAAGTGCCCCTCCAGCCGCAGACGGGACCAGTCCGCGGGAGGGTTGTGGGATTTTCCCCTTTTTTTCCAACCACCACTGTAGGATTTTTGTTTCGGGGTTTATGGGTCGGTAGTGGTTGGATGATGGGAGGGTAGTGATCATACTATGGATTCTTTGGGGAAGCTCCCCATTCCCGGGGGTTGGTCTTTGGGAAGCCTTTCTTTTTACCTATCACAGGACGGAGGATGGGCCCTCGGAGCTGGCGGTGGTTCTTTTGAGGTCCCTTTAAAACATCAGCAAAACAAAGAAGTCTCCTCAAAAGAAGACACCCATGGCATCTTTCCTTCTAAAGCTCCCAATAGAACACCAGACAAAGAGGAAGAAGTGCCCTCAAAAGAAGACACACGTATGGGTTTGCTGTGCTTTAGCGCCCCAAAGGCCCGCTAAAAAAGGGGGATGTGTTTTGTTAAAGCCGTATGATGAAAGTGGTTCGACAAAGTTGCCCAGAGACATGGAAAGATTTGGGGACCAGAACAAGTGAGTGGCTACCTATGATTTCTGTCTATAAATGTATGATCATACTGCTGGGCTGGAGGCGAAAGCGGAATCATGTTGATTTGTGAGGGTGACAACTCCAGCTCCAGTTTGCACCTCGCAAAATGAAGCGAATACGAGTGAGTACAGAGAAGGACCAAGAAGGAGGTGGAATCCACAAAGCTGGACCCAACCTTTTTTTTGGGGAATACTCCTGACGTCACTGTTTGCCACTTGATCCATTCGCTGATTGCTTGGAGCGCAAGTGATGGCCGGTTCGCTTTTGTCGCCGTTACTGGTCGCAGCTCAGGCGTTGTTGCGTCGTTGCTGGCCAAGACGCCTGGTTGCAACTTGCTCAAAGCTCCGTTTTGCAAGCATTTGGACGAATAGCTATGTGTTTGGAACTGGTGCACGCAAAAGTTGTGGTTATTTGAAACAGGCTGCTCGGCGTGTGCATTCGAAGCCGAAGCATTCGAAGCAAGCCGTCCGAAGAAAGGACCGAAAATGAAGAGGAGGACCATCCCAAACGCGCAGTGCGCAGGGAGGTTGTGGACCTCTTGCTAGAATCGGGGAAGGAAGCTGCTGTACACGCAGAGGCTGGGTATGAATCGAACAGTTGCGCACGGAAATGTGTCAACATGACCGGCCTCCGAAAGTATTGCGATTAGAGGCGTTCGGGCCCCCGTAGCCCCCTAGCCGGCGGAAATGTGCTCGTGCACTCTTCTACTGGGCTAATTTACAAAAATGACAGCCGCTTTCAGTATTTCCCCTTTGATTTCCAAACAAGCCACATGAACTGGTCATGTTTTGCAAAAATCAAACTATTAAAGGTATGAAGATTGAAGGAACCCCTTCTAAGGTTATAAGTTATAGGCTCCTTGCCTGGGGTTAATGGCGCCTTCGGTTCTCCACCCTTTCTGACAAGTGGCTTCTGGCAGCCGGCATGATGTTTGATAGCTTCTCTTTCGTTGCCAAGGACTGTAAATCAGAATGTCATATTCTCAGGAACATTGGTTTGCGCACTGCAGCCCGTTGTGAACCACCTTCCCTCGAAAGACTCTCGCAGCCTCTCAAAAGTTACGAAGCAGTGGTTTGGCTGGCGTTGCCGACGATTTGGAGGACCCCTATTCCAGACCTTTGACAGGCCAAGAAGAACTCTTTTGTCCTTTTCAAGGGCTACCTGAGCGCGGATTTGACCCCTCAGGCCCTTGCCTCCGTGCTTCTGCTGGAAGACCCGCCCCTGTGCTCCAAAGCCATCCGTGTGCTGAAAACGCTGGGCTCAGAGGGGGCGAAGCACGTGGCGCCACTTCTCGGTACCTGGCTCAGTCGGGGGGAAATAGGGGATTGGGCAGACAAGTTCAAATTCGGTTTGGTTTGCCCCGTTGAAGTCGGGCACTGTGAAAGAGACTGTTCTTGGGGCTCGTCTGGCCTTCGAGTTTCTTGGCGCATCTCGAAAGCATTGGGTCCAAAAGCACGGCCATCCAAGAGAAAGTTGCCACAGCGCCATGCTGCGCAGGAATTCACTGGATTTTTCTTGACCAAACTATCAAGTAAACGTGGGGGGCGTGTCTTTTGCGGTCTGGGCCCCGGACATTTCTGCAGCCGGCTCTTCCGCCAACCCTGGCAACGCTCCGAAGCCCTTGCCACCCACGTTTGGCTGTCGCAGGCGACGAAGACGCGCGCTTTGATGCCGTGGATGTGTTGCAGAGCTTGGGGCAAGTGGCTGAGCCATTTGTGGAGCCGCTTCTGCAACACGCCTGCGAGGACGTGGGTGAAGAGCTGGGTTTCTAACTTAGTTTTTTGCAAAACTTGGTCAAGTCGAGGCGGGCTGCGCCTTGTGGCGTAGCAGGGTTGCTCAAAGGATAGATGTTGGCCATGATGAATGTCTCATTTAAGTACTGTCCGGGTGGCTTGGGGGGTGACCCTGTTGTGAGGATGACCCCATTAATCACCATTGCGGGGAGTCCCCATTTTGACATGCCCCTATCCTTTGAAATACCCGCGGTTTCTCAAGCCACTTCTGAGTGAAGGATGTCCGTGTGGTGGCAGATCGGCTGCTAGCTCGACTGCACGCTGGGAGGCAGGGTGCGCTTGCTCGGGTTCAGCCAAACTGGACTCAGACTCCCCTGACTCCTTGCAAGACTTTGACACGTTCAAACAGTTTTCTTTCTTTTCTTTTTTTTTTTTTTACGTGTCAAAGAATCATACGGACAACCGCCAAATCCCAATGTTTCAAGAACCCACACCCCCACGGGGCCCTTCTGTTTGAAACACCGGGGGTTAGCCATGTGCAAATCCCCTGTTGAAACAAGTGGTTGGGGTGGTTCAACCTTGAGGTGTTCAATGGGAAGGCCCAAGCCATCGCTGGCTCGACAGGAGTGCATGGGGTTGCTTGAGCTCAATCTGCAACCCTGCCAGAGCGTAGTGGTCTCCCTCACTCCAGTCGCGCCCCAGAAATTTGCGGATGGGGGCTAGAAATCTTTCAGGTTGAATCCAGCTGGTTGCTGCACTTGCGGTTCTGGAATGAAAAAGCGCATGGAGGAGACTGCCGGATCGTCGCTGCCGCAAAAGCGCAAGATGGTCGCAGAGGATGATGTGGAGCAGCCTGTGTGCAGAGTGGGGGGGGGGGGGTTTTCGCATCAAGGATTTCAGGTCAGAGATTTTGGTACCAGCTGGACGTGTCAGGCATTGGGCAGCTGAGGTATATCGACGACTTGTTGAAGGCGGCGGCAGACTGCGTGAAGCGCTCGAAGCCCTTACTGGAAAAGATGCCCAAGTTGCCAGACCCCCCGGCAGAGCGGCCGCCCGATCCGTTGCCGGAGCCGCCCAGACCCGATCCAAAGGCTGGTGCACCTGCTGCAAGCCATGTCGCGCCGTGCCCGACGCTGGGCTCAGTTCCTTTACAAGCCACAATTTTTTCAAATGGCTTTCACCCTGGTAGGGTTCAGGATCTTTCAGGGCCCCCTGTCTTGCGAGTTGCCTTGGACTTTTCGAAACCTGTCAAACCGGAGCACGGGTTACGCCAAGGCCGGCCCTTGCGCCGGTCCCGGCGAGTTGGTGGCCGATCTTCGCGCACCACGCCTGGATGCAACATGCAGCCCATCACGCGGCGCACGCACAGCTCGGGTTTGGGGCACCTGTGGCACTGCTGAACGCGCAGCTCGGATTTCCCCTGGGCTTTCCTTTCTTCACGCGCTAGGGGACGCTCGACAAAAGGGGGTTCCTTACAAAAAGCGCTTGGCCGTTTCGGACATGCCGCAGAGCTGGTTCAGGGGGGTGCCAGATTGGGTTTGCAGCCAATCTGGTGATACTAAGAGAACCCCTTTCAAAGCGTGACAAACCACAGCGCCTTTTCCGGAACCCTCCGCCGTCTCCCGGAGCTGGTGTGCATAGTGTACAGTTTGAGGCCGTGTCTCCGCGTCGAGAAGGCGCGAGACCGGCTTGAAAGGCGGATCTCCCGCGCAAAATCAGCATTTGAGGCTTTGAATTTGGTCCGCCGTCAGGGTAAACCGGGGTATAGGACACCTAAACCAAATCTCATAGAGTTATAGTACAAAGGTTTTGGTTTATATTTCTCTTTGCAGTTTGGGGATGGCTACTCCCATGCACATCTTGGACGGGACCCCCTGAAAACGACAAGAGGCGCGCCACAAAAATCCGCCGCGGCGCGCGCGCGCGAAAACGACGTCGCTGGGCTGCTGGGTCGAGGCAAGCTGATCCGCCTGGACGTGGCCCGGTGCTTCTCGGAGAGCCCCCGCCTGGCGTGCCGCGCCGCGCGCACGGCACTGCGGGAGCTGCTGGAGGTGCTGGTCCTAAGGCGGCCCCTGCGGACATGGACACTTGGAGTCGAGATTTGTTGCAGACTCAAACCCAGCAAAACAAGAACAGTAACATGGAGGAGGTTGCAAACTAGACCCCAAGTGTCTTCATTCGGGTGGAGGAGTAATGGGGGGGTTGAGGGGTCCACAAGCGTCCAGTCAAGGGAAGCCTGAGGGTCCCGCAGGCCCCCCTGAAACATGCGGAGGGTCTCTTGAACCCTCGGTGCCACTTCCATTCTGATGTCGACTCTGAAAGCGGTCACTGGATTTACCGCAAACAGTGGATCAACTTACTGCCAACATCGGAAAGCACAAATCCCCAGACTGCAATAGCCCTCGTCCACTTCCTGATTTGGGAGAACCCCTGAGTTTAAGTCAACACTCGCTGTGCGTTGTTGTTGAGGGTACCTTGTACCCTTTGCAGGTTGGCTCAAGGGGTTTCCATAGGGATTTGGCGGATTGCCCAGATGGCCATTGACTAAGAGTCAGAACATGGTCTGTGTCACAATATGGGGTTTGTGTGTTTTCATTTGTCGCCGGAACCTTATCTCACCTTTTTTAAAGCACCCTCAAACAACGAACACCCATAGCCAAAGAATCCCACAATTGATTCACAAGGCATGCTCCAAACCATCAGGTACATCAGGTACGCTATAGACTTCAATGTGAGTCTTGAGTCGACCTTCGTTCCCGGCCCCTTTCTGGTTCCATGTTTGATTCTGGGAGCAACATACCTTTGGAAGTTCAAATCAGAATTGTCAAGTCATCGAAATGAGCTTGAATTCTAAGCACCCTCAGAATGGAGGGCTTCCCTTGAACATGGAGCCCGTCTTCCCCCCCCCTCCCGTCCCATGTATGCATATTGACAATTTGGTCTTGGGAAGGCACATGCACATACAAAGTAAGATCTCAGGCCGTTTGCACCGACTCGCCTCTAGCTGGGCTCAGATCCCCAGACCTCCGTTTTGTAATGGAGCGGGTGTCCCTTTTAAAGCCAACACCATGTCCCAGCGGAGCTCTGGAAAGTCCGCTTGGTTTAAATTCAAACCCGAGCCAGGCATAGCGGAGAGCAACCCTACTGCTCCAGCCTTAATTACTGGAAGCCAGATGCTTGCCTGAAAGCGACGTTTGTTTGTGTGTGTGTGTGGGTGTATGTTTTTTTGGGACCCCTTTTCCCCAATGCTCATCACATGTGTCACGGACCTTTTGATTAACCCTCATTCTGGGGAACGGGTTTGCCTGAATCAAAGACCGCGGCCTTGACCAATGATGTGAGGCCAGGGATATCACGAGCTTGCAGCCGTGATGCTCTTGGTATGCTTGGGTCTCGGCTTCCCGAGCTGATCTACGCAAACGTTTGCAGGGATTTCCGGAATCAACGTCAATCCGTGGGAGGAGTGACCTTGAATTACCCTCCAACCAATTGATGATTAATGGCCCCCCCTGTCAGGTTGCATGTTAATTGGTATGAGGGTAGATGTCAAGGTGATTCCTTTGATTTCAGTGAGGTGGTCTTGAATGACGCATTTGGAGGTCATGTTGCAAGGTATGGACGGCACCTGGCCTGCGGATGAGGATCAAGAGCAGGACCCGCAAGATGTTGGGATTTGGGGGAACCCGACATGTCAGTTTTTTGGGGAAGGATCCAGTAGTGCCCTGACCCTCTTTCTTCCACAAACGCAGCATGTGTCGAAGACTCCAGGCAACCCGAGCTTTGTCAGGTGCCATGTTGGCGAGAGGGAGGGCAAGTAAACGGGAAATGAGAACGGGTTGGTCTGATTGCGTATCGGGACCTGGTTTGATAGGAGAAGATCCGGAGATCATCAACGCCTGTCTCAGATGGCAGTTGCCTCAGCTGTGGGGCCAAACATCGCTTAAGAAACTAGTACTCCGACAGAAACTATCAATCAGAGATCAACATAACTTAACACGATAAGCAGACAAGACAAAGGACAGGCAGGGAAAAGGAAAAGGAAAGGAAAAGGCAGAAAGCCTCCCGGGCTCCATCCCAAGTGTCAAATAAGTGTTTGTTTCTTGCTTCTTGCTTTGCCTTTTTGTTTGTGTTACCCACTTTAATTGCCGCTGAAGTCCCACTATCCTCGAGCTGCTTCCGCATAATTTGCCTTCTCGTGTTGAGTGTTTTGTTTGTCGCCGGTTTGGCATGCTTTTCTGGTCGGCGCTTCAGCGCTGTCTCTCAGTTGTGCGCCCCCTGCCCTAAAGAAGCAGGTATGTGTTGCAAGTTGTGTTGCGCGGGGGGGGTCGCGGCGCAGGACAACATGTATTCCAGATTTTGGTACTGGTTCCTGCCGAAGAGGCAAACTTGCATGTCCAAGCATTCCCACCTGTGTCTCAAATTCAAATTCGGGACCCCTTAGGGTGAGTATCCGAAATGTCTGGTTTCACAAAACCTCAACCTCCACAAGAGGCTTCCCTTTTTTGAGACCTGCACTGCACCTAAGACGACATCGGCGTCTACAAGGAGCTTGGAAGTGCGGAGGCAGTGGCGGCGGATGCCTTGGCAGCGAACCCAGCGGGAGCGACAGGTTTGCTCCAAACCGGAGATCAAAACACCATGGGTCGAACATAGGATTGGTGTCCCTGGCGCCGATTTCTGTTTTTTGTGGCTTCCCCAGGGTGTTTGGGGTAATCCTTTTGGGATTGCCTAGAATTTCCGTATGCGAACTGTATGTTTGGGGTGTTGTCAAATGTCCCGAACCCAAGCACTTAAGGGAAAGGGGGATTTTCGGGGATGGACTCTGAACGGAGGAACCCTTGCGTTTGCCCAAAGAAGACTCGGCAACTCTGCGCCTGTCTCGGATGCAGCCACAGGCTACGCATAACGACGGGAGGCAACTCTGGGCCCATGGGTCCGCGACTCTAAATTACTCTCTGGGACCCGATTCACGGATGGGTCAGTGTGGACTCGTTCGGATTGTGGTCAGGTCTTGGTTTGGATTGCTGTGATTTTGGCTTGTAATGGGATTGCGGCTTGGACGTAGCGTGTGGCCGGCGAGGGTATGTTCGGGGTACTGGACGCTTAAAAGAGAAAGACAGGCGGTGCAGATTGCACTCGTGGCATGAAGTGTTGCTTAAACCCCGGGGTTCAATCCACCCTTAAAACAACGGGGGTCAATATGCCAACCTTATTTGCCCAAAGATGTTCATCATCCAAATTGGGGGAGAGATTCTTTAGTTGGGAGTTGAACCCCAGGGTTAAAGCGGCGACCGGCGCCCTGGGCTGAGCAGTTTCCTTGAGGCTCTCCTGGAGTCCCTCCTCTACGCGCTACACTCAGGGCTTGAGGGTCGGATGCAGCGCTTGCGGCATGTTGCACACCAGCCCCCGGTTCCGGGCTTATGAACCTTGAGAATGCGGAAGGTTATTCTGATCTGCCGGGGCGGGGGCTTTTTGGTGAGGCTCAGGAAGAAGTAGCCCGGGTTGAGTCTCAGAATGCCTGCTGAGGTCCTTTCGCCTTCTTGAGGGGAAAAGGGTCGTTGGGAGTTTTTAGTTTTGCCTGTGCTCGCTTTTGCGCTGGCAGACCCAATTTGCCGAGCACCGAAATCTCGGACAAGGTATTCAACACTACTTGATTGCATCCTTCCAAATCAAACGTAGAACCTGCACAGGGGTCCCCTTAAAAGGAAAATGGATATCCAGGGACCCTGTGCAGGTTCTACTTGACTGTTCTTGGCAAGTTCTTTTTTCTGTTCATTTTAGTAGGGGTCTAAAAAGAAGGTCTTTTGCAAACGCACTTCAAGGGTTGTGAAGTCTATGACGGTTTTTGGGAGGGTCGATGATCTCCGCAGAAGCAAGCCGCTGGGCCGAAGACCTCGCGGGGTGTGGCAAGGACCACCGGCTCCGGGATATGTACGAGCCGAAGCCTGGAGGCCCGATATATCGTGTGGACCGGTTCTCGGTGTTCGGTCAACTGGGTCGAGCCTGGTGCCCAGCGGGGGTAGCTCTACAAAGCGGCCCCCCAAAAGGCGTAGGGCGTAGGGCTAGAGGTTGATATGGAATTTCAAATTGATGGGCAGGAAGAGCTGGCTCGGTTCATCTCGGTTCCGCAGGCAAGGAAGAACTGGCTGTTTCGACAGGTAGGGAGCAACCTGGTTGGACAGGCAGGGAATGAGGTTGAAGGATCCCAACAAGAACCCATCCCCCTTGGTTTCCTTTCAACGCTTCATTCCCGAGACCCACCAGCAAGATAAATGCGGTTTGAGGAAACTCCTTTGGGAATTGGGCCCCCAAAAAAGGGGGGTTCCATGGTAAGGAGCCGGTGGCTCCTCCGTTCTGTTTTGAGGGCTGGGTAGGTGTGGTGTTGGGCAAAGGCCTCGAGCCATCCAAATCAGCTGGAGTTTGGCCTTGCGTCCGTGTTACAAGCAGCCAGTTCTTCCGAGTGCCATCCGATTTGCACTTCTTGTGGCTGCAAAATGGCAAGCCCGGGCGTTCTTGTCCCTTAAAAGGAGTTTCCTCTAGGAAGAAAAGGTTTCCATGCATCGGTGTCCTTTTCAGGTGAGCCTGGTAAAAAAATAGATGGCACTGGCTTAGAGGGGTTTTGTTCCATTCACCAGGGAAACCCATCTATTTTTCCTTAGAAGCCGCCTATGGTTCCATGCACCCATTTGTTACACGGCTCGCTGACCTCCATTGCACAGGCGAGGCTGGGGAGGAGGAGGCCGTTCTAGCTGCTCGGCACTTTACAGACCCCGATTTGGGGTCTGCATCAAAACAAAATCAAAGAGCTTGGGTCACGCAGGTTTTAGTCTTTGGTTCCAGGTGCCAAGGCTGCCATTTTGGTACATGTGTTCATGGGAACCCAGTTTGGCTATCAGTCGTGTCCAGTGATTTTGGGTGGGCGGCCTGGGTGGGCGGCCTGGAAGATGCCTTCGGAGAACGGTTTGGTCAGCAAACAACGCCATGGGAGTGAGCCTCCAAAGCTTGGCTTTGAGCCCTCTTTGGATGCTCACTGTCCTTCGGAAGGAGGCTTGTGCACATCCACATGTGTTTGGGGGGGTGAATTGTTCTATCTAGTTGTTTTTTGGTTGGCTTTTGGGGAAGCTCCTGCACCTTGAACTTCAGCTCGAATTTCTGTCTCACCTAGAAGATGGTTTCATGATCGCATGCTTGCAGACGATTTGAAATTTGGCAGCATGGCAGGGACAATCTGAAACATATATGTGAGATTGAAGCCCCTCCTCCCCACAAGCCTTCACTTGGACGTATGAGGTCTTCAACTCTGCTAAAGAATGCCCAAAAAAACATGGGCAGGCACAGATTCTCAGATGCACCTTTTTATCGAGTCTCCATCGGCTCACCAAAAGCCGCCCATTTTGGCGATTTCGGCCGTCCCCGTGCGGCCGATCGATCTCTTCTGGGCCATGGCGTCCATCATCGCCGGCACGTGGTCCTTGATCTCCTCCTCCGCAGAGGTGGGGGTGCATGCCGTCCACTGAAAGGAAGGGAACCCATGTGCCAATGGTGAGGAAGCACAACCATGATGAGGGTGCCGCTTCACCCCCCCCCCCCCCCGCCTTGTTGTTACCCTTTGGTGGTTTGGATTGGGGTTTGGATTGGTGGTTTGGGGAGTTAACCCCGGATCAAACAATTTCCGGCACTGGACGGGTTTTATGCCATCCATGAAGGAAAAACAAACAACACTATGTATGCTGTATGCCCCATTCTAGATGGGTCGTATGCCATCCATCTCGCAGAAACCAAACCAACAACACCAACTTTGGACCAGAAGCACCATGCCATCCATTTTGCAGACAGAAAACCCACATGGCCATGGGTCAAAATCCCGTACCCTCAGTGAACATCCCAATCCACTAAAATAGACAAGGGTGGTGCACCTATCCCAAAATGGGATCCTATTGGTTTTGACCCAAATTCACATCTTTTCTTTGGACCAAAGGGGGCCATTCCACCTAGTGCTAGCCTCCCCATTCTTTCTAGGGATCCTCTCTGGAAACCCAGGGAAACGGATCCGGTTGTTGAAAAGACCCATGATTGAAAAGAATGGAAAAGGAACCAACCCCTAGAATAAGTGATCCTTTGTCCAATTCTGGAACTGGGGGACCATTCATGCCATTTCAGAAAGAAGACCATTCATTTCATGCCATTCATGCCATTCATTTCAAGAAAACCATTCATGCCATTTCCGACATTTTGTTTTTTTCGGACCAACTGGGACCATTCTCCCCGGCCAAGGTGATCTCCAAGGCCCGGGGCATGACGCTGGGCATCCACAAGCTGCTGCTGTCCCCGGACCGGGCGGAGCTCAGCGACGCGGACCGCAGGCGGCTGCTGGGCCTGCAGCGCCGGGTGCAGTGCATGGCGCCCCGGAGGGGAAAATCGAAGCACTCGCCGAGGAAAAGCCGGGAACTCCCCCCCCCAAAAAAAAAACAAAAAGCAGGGGAAACCCGGGAAAACCCGGGAAAATCAGGAAAGCTCGAAAAAAACCGGGAAAAACCCAAGGAAAACCAGGAAGCAACTAGGAAAAGATAGGACAAAAACGAGGAAAACCCGAGGAACACCGGAAACATGCCCATGGGAATTTGAGGCGATTGGTGCATCGTTTGGTTGGAAACGTGTCTAGAAACTGTTTTTTTGGAAAGGTTCCAGGTGGGCGTGTCTCAACTGGACCTCCAAAATGTATGTTTTGTTTAGCCCCGAAAAGTCGGAACACATCCATGGGGTTTAAGCCTTTGGTGGTGGAGTCGGAATTGAACCCCAGGTTCTTGCGAGAGATCTGCATTTTGGACCTGTGGCAGATGGAAGCAAGTTGTAGAGTCGCAACTTTTGGGAAATCCATTGACAGGGGTAGTGGAATCCAGCATGTTACAAGGGTTTGTAGCCCATGTCCCCTTTAGGTAGTGGTGGAAACCATCTTCAATTGGGTAGTCCACAAAGGGTGGGTGGGCTTGGTAGGTTCTTCTGGGGCAAATGGGCAACCAGCCCCTAGCCTCCAAACCACCAATGAGGGGAAGGTGATTCAAGCCTGTTTCCGCGAACCCTCGTTTCGGTGCTTGCAAAATCCTGTCCTTCGGCTTTTGTACATTTTCCCGGTTTAGACTTGTTGTGGAAAACGCCAATGCTGTGTGCCATTCCACGACGTGAGTCTCGGGAAGTCAGGGGAAGAGCTTCCAAATGCCCAACTCTCAAAATGAGGCTGGACCTCGGGCCATAAGCGGTGAATAAGTGGTTCACGAACAAGTAAAGTGCACAGGTTTCTGGGGTTGGGCTACAGGGAAGGGTTGGTCAAACAGGGTGCAATTTGGGACCAAGGGTTCTCTTTAGTGTCCCTTTCAAAGGCTACCTATAGGCTCTAACTGAAAGGCACCCCGTGAACAATCTTCACGAGAAAAGGGCTGGGTCTGCGACATATTGCAGAAGGCTCAATTTCCTCATGTTGAGACACCCACTCAAAAAATGGGTTTCTAGGCACATCTCATGTTGCGAGACCCCTCCTTCGCAGCGGAGAACCCAGGTGCAGCCATTGAACTTCCTGCTGCTCTGGTCCAAGCGCCGAGATCTGCGGGTGCAGCAGGCCGGCGTCCCAAAGCACCTTCCCATGCCCTTGTCAAGGTGCAAGGTCCCCGATGCTTCCCTTCACATGGGTCAAAATCCGGTGCTAAAATGGCTCTCCCCAGTGTAAAGGATGAACAAGGCGGCACCCAGTTGTGGTTGGGATTATCCCCTGCTGTGGATGGTTACGACATCCATTTCGCACCGTTCTGAAGCCCAACGGAATGATTAGATCCCCCCAACGCAAATACCAATTGAACCATGGTTTCTTAGCTGGTGCGAACCTATGTCGTCCATCAGTATACTTTCCCTTCAGCGGTTTAACATCACCCACCGTTGCCCATTTGAGATCGGTCCTTCACGATTTGGGGGCGTAGGGGAGGGGGCAGACCAGGCTGATGATTGAGGGAATTTTCATGGGTGTCAGTTGCCCCTGGACCCATTTCAACGGGGCAAATTTAACCCCTTGTTCTCTTCTGAACCCGTACGTTTTCCCAGGATCATCAAACATGGACCAACACAAGCAACATCTTGTTTCCGGTATCATTCGTGCCAAGTCTGAAGAAGCGTAGGTGGTGCTCAGTGCGCAAGAGCTGCTCTTCGACATCTACAGCTTCATCGAGTGCCTCTCCCCTGAAGATCCCATGGGTCAAGGTAGGTCCCGGCGCTCGAGCGTGAGCAACGCCACCAAGTCGGAGCAGCTGGAGTTCTTCCTCAGCAGCTCGGCGACCGGGTTGGATCTTGCAACCCAAAATGGGGAAGGGGAAGCCACAAACTGTTTTTGTCTTTTTCGTTGTGTTCCTTTTCAGTGAAGGCAGTTGCCACAATTCCAGCCCATCTCAGTTTTGTCATCCCCTTTTGTTCACCCTAGCGTATGAGTTGGACTGAACCATATACACAATCCATCCCACGGTTTCCTTGTTTCGGGAATCCCCCATTGGTTCTTCCCCACCCCCGGACTGGATCAGTCCCCACCGGGGCCAGGAGAGCTGGACTTCACCTGCATCTCGGTGAACATGGCGGAGCCTCGGATGAACGACCTCTCTCCACCCCCGTTTGCGCCCATGGGGTTTACGGTGTATCACTTTTTAAGTTAAGAAGAGATACATCAGAATGGGATGTAGGGTTCGGAACATGGAATGGGGCTCAGGGGTTTTTGGGTTCCCGACGTTGCCCCTTGGAGTTAATTCTTTTAATCGAAAGAATTGGCGCAAGACGAACAAGATGCTCACTCTCTCAACCTTTGGGTGTTCCAGCGGGCCTTTGGTCAAGGTTCTGAAATGACCATTTGAGATCCTGGCAAACTAGAAGGAAGCCAAGAGAAACCCATGGGTTCCAACCTGGGCAAACTAGAAACCACCATAAATTCATTGCAAACCCAAGGAAGAGTCAGATGGGTGTGAGAAGCTCAACTTGGTCAGAGAAAGAAACCATGCATCAGGGAAGGCTAAGTTGCGGGGTCTCGGTTTTCGAACTGACGCAAAGAGATGACTTACCAATGGCCACAGCTCTTCCCCGCCCTAATCCCCCCCCCCCCCAACCCCATTCCGTCCCCCCTTTCTCCAACTTAGCCAGCCCCAAGTTTAACATTTTGATGTTTTGAATGTGTGCCAACTGTGGGTTTTACGTCATTTGCCAACCTGCATCCAAAGCAAGCCCGTTGCGCCAGCTCTACAACCTTTTGCTTGTGCTTGTGTTCGGCCAGGCTAGAGAGTGGTTAGCATCCTAGGTTACAACCTACTTACAACAAGGGTGGCTGCACTGGGCGGACTTATAAGTACGTAACACCCAAGTTACCAACAACTCAAGCAGGCAGGAGATGCAAAGCCGGTTGCAAGAAAGGGAGCCGCACTTCCATAGCGGGAGGGTGCGGCAGGGCCCAAATTCACAGCCAAGGTGGCCATGAGATTGATGTCTCATTGAATCAATCTCAAAGCATGTGACTGGCCTAAATGGGTGTTGCTCAAAATACGGGTCTCCTAAAACTGGTTTGTTTCCTTTTGCCTTTGAACTAAAAGGGTTCAGAGCCTTTGAATGAATCCTAGGCTCACTTGTCCAACGCCGACCTTTTGACCTTTGGCCTATGTTTTTTCAAGGTTTCAAGGGGTGATCACCTTTTGTTTCCAGGTCCTTTGGGCAACTGAGCCGGGGCAAATTCTAGGGGTACCTTCTCCATTTCCTAGAACACCGGAAACACAGATAAAACGGCGATTGGTTTCTGATAAAAGATGGATAGCTGAAAAGAATGATTGGAATCCTTGAGGTGGCTGGAAACCTGGAATGGAATGGCCACCCCCTCAACGATTTTTCAAGGATGGAATGGCTGGACTCAGCCCCTTGAAAAGTCGCCTTGAAAAGAACGATGGTTGAAAAGAATTAGAAACCAACCCTTAGAATATGTTTCGGGTTTGGGGTTTAGTCCAGGGACCTTTGGAAAGCCGAAGTCCGAAAGGTCAGTTCATGGTTGTTGTGGGGAAGCATGGTACATTTTGGCTTTTTGTGGTTTAGTGGGAAGTCCAACCACTTAGCTGCTAAAACTTGAATTGTTGCTCCCCTTCCAACGTCAACCAGGCGTTCTTGACGAAAAATCCGCGACCGCCCTGTTGAGGTGAGCATGGAGGCGCGCCCGGTCTGTGGGAACGGACGCGCAACTGGAGCGGGCGTGTCGTTGCTGGCGCTGCTGCGCGCGCACCGAAGGGTCAAGGAGCTGGACTTGGAGGGCTTGGCCGGGGTAGAAGCCTCCATTTGGGTGTGTCTTCTGAAGGGCACCCCCCCAAAAAGAGTGGTTTCCTGTTGGCAGGGGTGCCCTCAAAAAAATGGCAGCAACCAGTTTTGTGTTTCTTCTGGGTTTTTGCCAAGTATTTCATGAAACAGGTGTTGCCAAGTAGGGGTAGCTTTGGGGGGCCTGGTTTACTAGTTGTGCTTCAAGCCAAGTCCCGGCAAGGGCTCTTCACATTGTACAGTCAATGTATGGAATTCAACAACCACACACATGATTGTCCGATTATCATGGCGTAACACTGAATCCGAATCCAGTTTGTATGCGGTTTTCGCCGAGTTGTGTCACTTGGGCTGCGTCCGGTTCACGCCATGGTTGCTGTCAGGAGATGGAGGGCCGTAGCGGCCACCTTTGCGCGATGGTGGGGTGCCTCTACAGGACCGCTTTCGCTAACCCGCCACCCTTGGCAGTTGGGGCAAGCTCGAAACTTGCAAGACCCCTCCGTGATTGAATTGAGTTGAATTCATTTGATTTGGTTGATTGATTTGATTGGTTGACTTATTGATTGATTTGATTCGATTCGATTCGATTTGATTTGATTGATTGATTGATTGATGGATGGATGGTTTGGATCGATTCATTGATTGATTGATTGATTGATTGATTGATTTATTTATTTATTTATTTATTTATTGATTGATTTGATTTGATTTTGATTTGTTTTGATTTAATGTTTATTTGATTTTGATTTGATTTGATTTGGTTGGTTGATTTTGATTTGATTTGATTTTATTGCTTGCTTGCATGCTTGATTAATTGTTGATTGATTGATTGATTGATTGATTGATTGATTGATTGATTGATTGATTGATTGATTGATTGATTGATTGATTGATTGATTGATTGATTGATTGACTTTAATTTGAGTGTGATTTGATTTGATTTGATTTGATTTGATTTGATTTGATTTGATTGCTTGCTTGCGTGCTTGCTTGATTGATTGATTGATTGAATGATTGCTTTTGATTGATTTTGATTTGAGTTTGATTTGATTTGATTTGATTTGATTGCTTGCTTGCGTGCTTGCTTGATTGATTGATTTTGATTTGATTTTGATTTGATTTTGATTTGATTTTGAATTGATTTTGATTTGATTTTGATTTGATTTTGATTTGACGTGAATTGATTTGCTTGCTTGGGTGCTTGATTGATTTTGATTTGATTTTGATTTGATTTTGATTTGGCTTTGATTTGATTTTGATTTGACGTGAATTGATTTGCTTGCTTGGGTGCTTGATTCATTGATTGATTGATTGATTGATTGTTTGATTGATTGATTGATTGATTGATTGATTGATTTATTTGATTTTGATTTGATGTGATTTGATGTGATTTGATTTGATTTGATTTGATTGCTTGCGTGCTTGATTAATTGATTGATTGATTGATTGATTGATTGATTGATTGATTGATTGATTGATTGATTGATTGATTGATTGATTGGTTTGATTGATTAATTGTTATTGTGTGGTTCCGTTCACTTTGAGTCTGCAAGGAGCAGTCAGTTTGTTTTTAGCTTCTCTAGGAAGGCGGAGGCCGCCGCCTGCGACACATCTTTGCCAGCCCAGTGGGTCCCCGCGCTGTCGCTGGCGACCTTGAAGGTGAGCTGCACGCAAGTGACATGGGCGGACGCATTTGGCTGTGGCTTAAAAAGATGTACCAGAGCGGCACCAGGGGAAATGGAACCAAAGACTAGAAGCTGCGGAACCCTGGGCCTTCTTTTTGAGCCACACCCATTTGATTGTTTTTTTTTGCCAGCCGTCGCGCAAGAAAGCAACAAGGGCAGGTTGGGCCCCATAAACTAAAATAGAACCTCACTCAAGATTCTGAAGCACCACAAGCGAACGGATCATTTGTTTGATTTTTCCGGACCTGCCTAACCCCCCCCCGCTGGCCATTAGCACCCTGTGAAGCGCGGCTGGTTTTGGCCGCAGTTGCTCAGTGGATTGCATACTCCAAATCCCTTCTTGTTTGGTGGCACCTAAAACGAGATATTTCCCTTTATTTGCAAGGGGTCTTTGGCTGGGACTAGTGCATTCTGAGTCTGCTCGACACAGAGCCAATAAACAAGGCTTCATCAACCACAAATTCCTAAACCATGGGCCAAGTGGGGCATTCTGAGCCACACACACACCCCTGGGTTCTGAGCCAAATTTCATGGGTTACCAGTAGCCTTTCAGAGGCGCAATCACGATCGGCAGGTGGTGTCGCGTGAAACCAAAAGCTACGGCGTGGAGGTCGAGAGCCGACTCCCGCTGAGCCAGGCGCAGGGGGTGGATGGGTTTGGAGGTCGACGGGTGCGGTGGGGGGTTGGGGGTTGGGCTACGGGTTGCTGCGTGTTTGGTTTTGGGGGGGTTGAGGTGCGTACGTGTTTAAACAGTGGATTGAGGCGTCAAGCTATTCAAGCCTGTATCCCAGCGCCTTGCCGGTGCGGGCAGAGAATGAGTCCCCAAACTGCACCCCCTTGTGGTTTTCTAGATTCTAGATTTTAGAGGGTGCATTTCCGAACTTGACATCTTTCAGCCACTGTTTAAAAAGCCTTATGGTGTCCCTTTGTAGGTTGGTTTCCGGCCACCTCATCAGGATTGCAAAATCCCAAAGTTGCGCAGTTCTTGGTTAAATGCAAATCCCATCACCTTCATGTGCTTGTTTGGAGGTGACAGTAAGTGTTTTCATTTATCCTCTACAAGAACCAGGTGTTGAAATAGCGTTTTTCCCCGTTCCGCAGGACGCTTCCTTCTCGGAGACGGGCGTGGGTTTGAACTCCTTCGCACGCCTGGAGTTCCCCATCTCTGTGGCGCTCAAGGTGTGGCTGGTAGCTGGGTGAGCCTGGATGGGCTTAAACAAATTTCATGAGGTACAAATCATGACTGTCCGCTGGTGCAAACCCATGTATTCGAACCCATAAGCCAATCATAGACCACAAGAGCATGGTACAGCACGGTAATTTAGAGCATCGGTTTCCGAACGTTTTTTTCCAATTTTGAGGCATCAACTAATCAAAGGGCGCCAAACCGTTTTATGCGGATGCCCTAAATAAAAGTGGTTGGAATCCCCAAGATCCTCACGATCCCCAACATCCCAAGTCAAGCTTAAACCCTGCAGAAATCTGCAAAATTGCACTAGATACGAGCAAACAGCACATCACATCACTCCCAAACCAAACAAAACTGCCGAACATCCTGGTAATTTCGGGTAAATCCCGGGGAAATGCCCCCAACCAGCGGTGCCAGCGAGCTCCGCCGGGGGCTCCCGTCCCCCCACCCGGGACCCGCGACGCGCCGAGCGCCGATCAGGCGCGGCTGGTCACCACCAGGCGCCTGGAGCTGAACCTCACGGCCGGCGGCCAGGACCTGGCGGTGGACTCCGTGGCCTTGGCGCCTGGGCTTGGGATGACTTGGCGGGGGGTGGGGGGGTTTGGGGGGGTTTGGGGGGGTGGGGTGGTTTGGGGTGGTTTGGGGTGGGGGGTGGGGGTAGGTGGGGTGGGTCGGTGGGTGGGATCGCCCGGGGCTTAGCCAACCACTTTTGTGATACAAGGGGATGTTTTCTTCTTCCCACCAAGGGGTTGAGCACTACTGGATGTATTCTTGCCGATTTTGTCCGTAGGACTCAAGCAAATGGAGGAACCTCATTTGCTGTTTTCAACGGCTGTGGTTGATCGCTCGCTATGGGTTTATCCAACTTCTGTGATACTTGTGGGAATCATTGGGAATCTAACTTGGCATGCTCCTGTAAACTTGCTCCGATACGCAGGGAACGAGTTGGAATGAACCCTATAACCCTCCCTGTTGGGTGTTTCGGGGGACCCCCCAGGTTCATTCCCACAAACCTTTTTTGTATTTGTTTCGACCCCCTGGGTCCAAACGCACAGGTTGGGGGTCAACAAAAAGAGGGTCCCCCCTCCGAAAGGTTTGGGTGAAACAAAAAGCACACAGTGAAGAACCAAAGGGTCATGACCCCTATGCACTCCCTGAGCCCTATGGAGAACCCCGAACAATTTCTCAAGGGCCCTCAAAAACAGCCCAAATTTGATGGCCCAAAATCAAAGGTGAGGACAAAGTGAACATGATATCGACATCGGAATCATTGATGGCGTTCCTGCGTTTCAACACAGAGCGACAAGGGTACCCCAAAAGGAACACACCCCTGTTGAGGGTCCAATCAAAGTGAATCCACAATTGTTCATCGAGGCTCCAAAAGGCTTTCCAGGTGAGTTACCACTGAACTGATTTATGGGTACAAGGAGTATGGGTGGAGTGGAATAGACAAGACGAAGGTGATTCTTCAAAATGAAGATTTGTCGGCTTTTGCAGGGCGCAAGCGGGTCTTCAAACGAAGGCCAGACGAAGCCCAAAGCGAAGCCCTTTTTGACGAACATTTGATTCTGTGAGTATTGGCGCCTTTGAATTAACAGATGCGAAGTAACCGGAAGACTAGTGGAAGGCTTTACAGACTACGGGTAGAGACTACAAGATTACGTGCCCAAAAACCCGCAACAACAATGGCAAGTCTTTAGAACAAAGGATTTATGAAGATACTCCAGTTTGGCACTGAGGAGGGATATTTGCTTCGAGGAATCTTCTCTACTGGATTTCAAAGAAACCAATGTTGGAGCAAAACTCGGGGGTTCCCTTGATACTTGTGAAATTGTCCTCATCACTTTGGAAGATGCCCTTTGTCAAGTTATGTTGTCCGTTCTGGCCTTTGGATCTTTTGACTTGTCGGCAGAACTGGTGGTAATCCCATTTGGTGACGCAGGTGGTTTTTGGATGTATCCTGTTATGCTTCTTGTGCCTGGGGCTGGGCCAGGTAAAACCTTGCCTACCAAAGCTTGTGAACCCACCTCTTCAGCTGCCTTTGAAAGGAACCCAGCGTTAGTGTTTAGGGGCGAATGGGGCCCAACCAAAACCCTACCAACCTGAGCCACACCCAAAGCCCGCACAATTGGAGGGTTGGGACAGTCCGAACCATAAGGATAGTATCCAGGACAGCAGCGCAGCACGATCTTCAGGGAGGGCCCCTACCTGTCATGCTGATCGTTTTTGTGATAGTGGGGGACCATTTTGGACGCCCAAAATCACGATCGCCTTCTTTACATTTGGGTAGGCCACTTTAGGTTTTGCTTACTTGCCCAAAGCCGACCTTGTGGTTTCCCTCAGGTTAACCTTTTCTCTAAGTCCGTATGGCATCTGAGTCTGAGTGTGACTCACCGGAGGTATGGAGCGACGAGGGTCAAAGCTTCACCTTCGTCTTTGACGGCAAAGCCTCGGAGGAGCTCGCGTTGACTCCGCTGGACGCTGCGTACCTAGTGCCCCGAGCGCAACCCACCAAAGAACTGGCTGGGGGTCGACAAAAGAAACAATAGCCATATGTACCCCCTAGCTGGTTGTGGGGGGCCTGTACCCAATTTGTCCTTTTTGGGTGGTAACCATCTTCAATTAGGCAATTGGTGGTTTGGATTTGGATTTGTGCTTGTAGAGGCCAAATGGGAATAAACCCGCTCACCTCAGGGGCTCTAAAATGGATGGTTTCCTTGGTTTCCCTTTGAAACCACCCCCTGCTTTTTCCCGTTTGGTAACGAAACCATCTTCAAGAAACGAACAGTGGCAAGCGGGGAATGCATTAGGGCTCCCCAGACAGGTTCTCAGAACCCTTAGTGCGTTAGCGTTCTGGTTTCTGCTGTTGCTTGTGCCTCTGTGGTTTGCATCATTTTTGCACATTCGTGGGGTGGGGGTTATTAATCAGTGGTCATCTTTGGAGGACCCCGGGCTGCCTTTTGTACCCGCAAAATGAGGGGGTTCAACGTTGAATTCCTCGCCCGCAAAAAAGGGAAGCCGTAAAACATGGCAAGCTGCTAGACTTAGTTAATGTTTGCCCCGTGTCCGGGTTTGCTTTATTTTTTCTTGGTGCAAAGTCGACGTTGTTGGTAACTTGGGTAGCCTACTTATATGATTCATATTATATGATAACTTATCTGGAAGTAAGTTTCCCAAGTGCAGTTCGCCTGGTTGCAAATAGGTTTAGCCTGGGATGCTAACCACTTACTAACCGGGCGACTCGAACACCCAAGTAGGTCTGCCCTAAAGCTGGGAGTTAACTGAGGCCAAGCTGTGCGCAGGGGCCCGCTTCGATCTGGATGGCGAAACGGCGGTGTGACGTCGGAAAAAGGTCGTGCGCGCAGGTCGCACCTGGCGCAAAATGGGCAGAGGTCAACTTTTTGTCAAAGCTCAACCTGTTTTTTTCCAGGAAGGGGAGGGGAGGGAGGATGTGAGGTCAAGCAGGTTGGGGTTTTCAAATCAGCTCCCAACTTTGCCGCCGAAATCGCGAGTGCCTTTCCGATTTATATCCACCTCTGACTAATATATAGCCCCCCGCCCCCCTCAATGACCCTAAATAAAGTTAAGGGGACAAATTTCAGGGTCAGGAAAAGTTTAGAATGTGTTTAGTATTGTTTTTTTGTTTTTGTTTTCGAATACTACTTTAGAATTGGGCGAATTCTAAAGTAGTATTGGGCATGTTATTTTCTTTGGGGGGGGATTGTTAAGGATTTATTTTGGGGTAGTTTATTATTGGGTTTGGGAAAAAGTTTAGCTTTATTTAGGGGCAGTTTACTAATCGTAGGTGGACAATACAGGGCGCAGAGGCTTTGTTTGCGTTAGAATCGCCGCTGGAGCTTGTGTTCACTGCTGGATTTCGAATGATTTTGAGATATACACTTGACTTTCTGGAGCATATCCATTTTGGATGGGGGCAAGTGAGCGCCGAACAGAGCTCTCTTTTCGCGCAAAAAGCGCGTTGCGTGGCCCATGCCATAGGCCCAGGCAGGTAAGTATGAACCTACGTCGGGAGGTCCGGAATCTTTAAACGAGGTAAAGAAGACCAGAATCTCGGAGCGACTGCCTAAGCAACAGACTTTGTTCGCTTTGCGGGAAACTCTTGGGCAGTTGAGCCAAAAGAAAAGCGGCTGCGCTGTCCTCAGCCACGCCGCTCATGCGGGCCTAGACTAAGTCGCGACTGGGCGCTTTGAAACTCAGCCTCGATGCCGCAAAGTCCATGGGAAGTTTGAAACGTCCAAGGGCCAAACTTTTTGGAATCCGCATGCGCTGCCAAGGCTGTGCGCTGCAGAAGAATCACCACGAGCTTGAGACGAGCCCGCGGCTCAGCATCGAGCTGGACTTTGCCTTGGCCAGCATGGACCCTTCCAGGATTTCTTGTGCAGGGCTCCTTAAAAGCTACATTTTGCAACCATTTGAAACAGGGTTTTTTCCACCATAATAAAGGGAAGCCACCATGTACAAGGCAATGTTCAGGTGTATATGCAAGAATCCCTGTTGTGAAACTGATATGTTTCCTCTTTCAGTGGGTGCAGCACTTTTTGTCAGACCCTGCGCGGCTGGAGGTTGGGTGGTTGCAAGTCACTGATTCAAAGCAGCATGCTCTAAAGTGGGCCAGCATGGCCCAGCGGGACTTGGCAGACCGGCCGATTTGGGGTGAAACGGACCTCCGTTCCTGCACGGAGGTCCGTGGTAGCTCTTAAGGAAAACACGCCAAACCGGAGAGTGCAGGGCGCGGTGTTAGCAGAAGTTGCCCAGAAGCAAGCTGGAGACGCAAGGTGGCTCCCGACTTGGCCAACGAGGCAAGGGAGGGGTTCCAGAATCAGGACCCCAGTCAGGTTCTATGTGAGTAGATGCAGGGTGGAGGGTAGATACTCTATGACATACGTCACGTTATGTGAATCATATTCTTTTGCAGCAGTGCACTACTCCAACTCAGCCCGGGATCCGTGTCAGTTCCACATGACGCTTGGAAAACTCAGGCAGATCGCAAGCGGAATAGAAGCAACACTTGGCACTTCCCCGGATTTGTCCTTGGTTAGGTCTTTAGGGTTTAGCCATAAATGTCCTTTTAAAAAAAAAAAAAAGAAACAAAGAAAACGGAGTTCAACTTTCAGCAGGGGATCTAAAAACCGACAGCCCAGTTCCAGGGCCCCTTTCCATGAGAAGCCTCCAGATCGAGAGCTGGGGCTTGTCTCCGCACGTGCTTCTGCTTCGATGGGCGGGGCAGCCCGAGATCCATTGCCTCGCCCGGACGCAGCCCAGTGGAATTCAGCACCTCACTTGCCCAAAGCGAATCGACCTTTCGTGCTTGGGGCGGCTGAGGTGCCCTTGTTCCAGCGGCAGATCAAATGGCTAATCCCAAACTGGGTCCTGGGTTGAGAAGGAGAGCATCCTTCAGATTCACTTGGGACCCACCTTCCAGATCTGTTGCTTGGCCAAGTTTTGCAATCACAGGTTTTTCCTTGCCTTGCCTTGGTATGGGTCGTTTTAGAATGATTCTCGCTTTTGGTGGAGTGACGGCGAAGGGGACGAGTTTGTTGCTTTGAATCAACTGGCCATGGTTCAAAACCAATGGCGCCATTTTGGGATAGGTGCACCACCCAGTTTAGTCTATTTAAGTGGGGATGGGGATGTTCACTGCGAGTACGGGATTTTGACCCATGGCCATATGGGTCTGTGAGATTTTGATTTAGGTCGGACGGTCGGTCGGTCGGTCGGTTGGCCGTTTCCCTAGAGGTCCGACTGCTCTTCCTGCGTGAGCTGAAGTTCCCGCGGGATGTCCTCATCGCCTGAGCCCCATGTTTCCACCGAAACAGCTGCTGGGGGCTGCTACCCTTTTAAGGTGGGTAGAAAGGGAAGCCACAACGAAAGCCCTCATTTTTGATAGAGTAGCTCATGGGTTGACACATGGAATTTCTCCCCACTGTGTGTCAAATGATCCGTTCTGTTCTCGAGCAACCGCTTTCCATTGTTCTGGGCTGGGTCGTTCTTCCAACCCCTTCTCCATGACCGCTGGGCATGGCTTGTCAAGTCGTCAGGCGCTTTTTGGGCCTTTCGACGCATGTTGCTGGTCGGGTTCGTCCGTGAGGCTTGGGACGCCATCTTCGCAGACGCGCTGGGCCTAGTTGCAGGCGGTCTGCACTCAAAGAGTGTCTTCAATGATCACTTGACTTGTCCGTTTTGTTTTTTGGCGGTTTTTTGGTTTGTAATCGGTTTCTTCACCATGTGTTCCTGGACTTGGGTCACGTTGTGAGAAGACCATTTTAATGGTAAACAACAAAACAGCTCAGACTTTTTTGAACTGATCCGCTCGACCGGAATGCGACTTGTTCTCATGCTGATGCACCTCACTTCCGCTCGATTGCCACGAGCAAACCGCCCGCAGCCAAGGCCTACATTTGCAACAGCAGCGAGGCTCATTGCGCAGCCACCCCATGACCTCATACTGTGGATGGACGAATCATGACGAATCCATTCCCACCGAGGATTTCCCTGGAAATACCAACGAACAATGCAGGAAATCGTTTGTGTTTCGTTTGAAGGTACAGGCAAATCAACACACAACCAACCATTTGTGGGGGTGTTCCCCCGTTTTGAGACAAACCCGGAATGTGAGGCTTGCTCAAAAAGAAAGGGGCCCCATTCTGGACCATGACGTGCCGTATTTGTGCTGAATCAAACCGATGGCAAGAGGGGCTCAGACTTCCTGCTATCCGCGGAAGGCTGTTGGGCCGGAGATGCTGGGTGCAGCGCACTTAGTGAAACTTGCGGTGGGCATGACTCTGTGTGAGCGCACATGAGGAGGGGGTGCTGCCATCCAGTGCTAGCTTTCCCTTGACAGACCACCTGGCGCTTGCGTGCGCCCTCCTGGATGTTGTTTGTCGCAGGTTCGCGGTTGCACTCCCTCAGAATAGCATGGAAGCTCTTGTAATTGGAACCAAGTCTTCCAAAGGCATTCTGGGAGCTTCAATGCTTGTCTGGTGGAGCAACAAAATCCGGTGGAGCCACGAGGGGTGCGCGCGGAATTCCGCGCCAGGATGATCATGGCCGTGCCTCCCACCAAGCCAGAAGAGCGGCGGCCCCTGCGAAGCGGCCGAAATCACGTCGCCATGGGGCATGTGCGGCATAACCTATTAGGCTGTGGGTCAAAAAACCGGTACCAAAATGGAACCCTGGTAAGTGGAAAAACATGGACCAAAACCTGCGTAACCCTAGCTCTTGAATTTTGAGCCACACCCCTATGGCTTCATTCTGGGGTGGATGAACATCCATTTGCCACCTATTTTGATGTTCACCACATGGCCCGGTTCGTGCCGTTTGCCGAGGATCCTCCAGTTCAGTGGGAGGTCTCCAGATGTGAGGAGGCTGTTGGCTTTGGCCGCGGCCTTGTCGAATCCAACGGTGCTTCTTGAGCTTGCAGTTGCAGGGTTGGCACGCCCACGGGGTGGATGTTGGCTCGCGGCCCTTCCTTGTTTTACGGATTTTCTGGGACCAAACTGTGTCAACTGATCTGTAACTCAGCTTGTTCAAAGCCGACCTTTTGACGTTTTGGTTTTCCCGTTTTGGTCCTTCTGTAGTCATGGCCCCAAAATGTGATCACCTTTGAGTTGCAGGTCCTTTGGGCAACTGATCTTTTACAACCAGAGGGAAGCCAACCCATTGATCCAATTCGGGCGTTTCCCATTTTCGACATGGACTCCGTGGCCGGATCCCTAGGCCTGGCAGCTGCGAGACTTCGGCCTGGCAACGCGAGGGCCGTGGAGACTGACCCATCCATCCCGCCTTCCCCTCTCCCGGCCAAGCCCAAAAAAGACTCTTAGATGGTGTGATGTTGTTTTTGAAATGACTTTTTCAGAAACCGCGTTCCGGATTGTGGTTCAGGATTGTTCACTTGCTGGTTCTCAGCGGAAATGGCACCCCAAACTGCCCCACTTGGTATTCGCGTTGGGGAATCGTTCAGAAACCGTTGGGTTTCTTATTAGATGGTACGTGGATGTCGCAACCATGCACAGTATTGGGGGAGTTGTGCCAACTTTCACTCGACTGATGGGGAGATACTCCTGTCCGCTGACATGGAACCCACCAGAGTGTCACTTTCAAAGGAAAGTCGTTTGCCAGGATTGTGGTTCAGGATTGTTCACTTGCTGTTTCTCAGCGGAGATGGCACCCCAACCTGCCCCCAATGGATTGGTTTCCTACTGTGGACGGTGGCGCAATCCGTGTCGCACCATTAAATGAAACTATCAGAAACCGTGGTATTTGCGTTGGGGAATCGTTCAGAGACCGTTGGATTTCTTGTTAGGTGGTGCGACATGCATG